GGATTGAACCGGCGCCGCAGAGGTCGCTGGCAGCTTCGCAACCCAACACTCAACCGCTGCGCCACCGGGGAGGCCCGTACAATTCTTTTTAAACGTGTAGGCCTCCCTGGTGATGCAAGGGGTTAAGTCTCAGCGCTATGAAGGTGTCCGCGGCTGCATGAGTGCGACACCCCCCCCACACCCGCCAGGGAGCTACCCACAGGGCGCAGCAGACCTCTCCTGTCTCCCCGCCGCTCCCCTCAGCAGTGGATTTCAGTGGATCTGCCTGTTCTGTTCCCCGCTCTGTCTCTGGGGAGTCTTCTCTCCCCCACACCTCTGGCCTACATCCCAGCTCTTGTATGCATAAATAAATAAAATAAATCTTAAAAAAAACTTAAAGTGTGTATGTCGGGATGAAGCCGAGTTCCACCAAGGCAGGAGACGTGCTTACATGCACAGCACGAATAACACGGTGACTCCTGGGGGCAGCAGATAACGCCACAGTCATCCGGGGAAGGGGACGCTGCCTTGGGCTCGGCGCCGCCCCAGCCAGTTCTGAAGCCACCTTCCTGCTGAGGCCACTGGACACCACCATGTACTGCTGTGCCCTCGAGGATTTAAACTTATTTAAAAAAGGGCCTCCCCGGTGGCGCAGCGGTTGAGCGCTGGGTTGCGAAGCTGCCCGCAGCCTCTATGGCGCCGGTTCGATCCCCGGCTGCTCCCCGGCCACCGGAGGAGGGTCCTACATGGCGCGCAGACCTCTCCTGCCACCCGCTGCTCCCCTCAGCAGTGTACTTTGGTCCTTCTGCCTGCTCTGCTCCCCACTCTGGCTCTGGTGAATTCTCTCACCCTCCCGCGCTTCTGACTGTACCCAGTGCATGTATAAACAAAACAAACAAACAAACAAATAAATAAATAGAATAAAACATGCCTCTATTAAAAAAAAAATTTAAAAAAAAAAACTTATTTAAAAAAGCTAACCAATAAAAGCGGATGTGTTCTCGTCTAAGGAAATTTTTAAAAGGAATGTTTTCAGAACTGCCCGCAATGAGGACCTGACATCCACAGCCCACTGTGCCCTTCCAGCGAGAGGTCAATGACCCCCGCCCCAGGCCTGCACACTGTGGGTTTCTTGCTGGAGACCAGAGCACCGCTCTGCTGCCCCACCCCACCCCCACCGCGCCCTCCTTCTGTTGGAGAGCCAGAAACACTCGGAGGGGAAAGGATGTTGAACAAAAAGCCTGGGCAGCCGGGGGCAGAGAGCAAGGGAGCTGCTGCGCCCCACTTTGCAGGGCTCCCCCTGGCTCTCCGGAGAGCCGGCACAGCAGGCGGCAGGGCGGGCTTCTGGCTGAGGCTATGTAGCTAGGTGCCTTTGCTTTTCTGAAAACTCAGCTTAGGAGCTGCTGTTGGGGAAGCAAAAGCGCAGGTGCTGACCTTGAAAAGGTGAGCACAGGTGGGCAGCGCCGAAAGGGCACCTTTAGGGGAGAATGTGCTATGGTGGCCCGAGGGGCCGAGCTTGGCACTTGGGCCTGTTGCTGTCTGCCGCGCCCCCTCACTGCCTCCCGCCGGCCTTCCCTTAGGGCCCACCTGGGCCTCCCCTGCCTCTGGTGCATCCGGGACAGGCTGCACATCCCTCCAGCCCTGACTCAGCCCCTGCCTCTGTGCCCTTGACCGGAGATGAGAGGCCTTCCCCAAACCCCAAGTCGGAATACACCTGTTCTCCCAGCGTTGTCTCGGCAGCCCCAGCTCGCACCAGCATTTCCAGGCATAGCTGTTGGGGAGAGAGCACCAGGCCGGCCTGCACGGCCCCTCCTGTCCTCTGGGCCAGTCTTTAGGGGCCGAGACCCAGGCTGAGAAAGGAAGATCCGGTATCCTCTGCAGCGACTCCCCCATCTTCATTCAACAGGAACCCCGAATGGATAGCCCCTCCCTGGAGAAGAGCCTCTCACTTTTCGGGCCTTGTGTGAACACTTGAGTTATTGGGCCGTTGCCGGCACAGCTGTGGGTCACTGCCCTAAGCAACAACTGCAGGCCAGGGCCTGGGGGCACCTTCACTGCCCTCTCCATACTCCTGGCTGGGGGTTCAGCTCTGCCGTGGGGTGACCTCACTCCTGTGTTCAGATAGCACTGCCTTAGCTTTGGGGGGCGTGGGGAGGGGGAATAGTCCCTTGGTCACGCTGTGCTGGGCTTTCAGGTCCAGATCCCCCGAGCCCCATGCCTGAGTCCAGGCCCTCTCCCCGCCCCTTCCCCCCACCGCGACGGGGCCGAGAAAGGTGGTGAATGGACGCGAGTGAGGAGCAGCCCTCTCCCCTCCACGGCCCTCTGGAGTGGAGCGGGCTTTCCGGGGCGCTCCGGGGCGCTCCTGGGCTGTGCCCAAATGGGGCGCGGGCTCAGGTCAGCCCGGCCCGCAGCGGCAGGCGCAGTCCCAGAGAACCGTGGTGGCTTAGGTGGGAGCCGTGCGTGCTGGGGAGCCTGAGGGAGCAGCTGGGAACCCCCAGACCGCCCAGGTCGGGAAGCCGGAGATCGGACCCCGCGACCCTCCCGCACAGCCCTAACCGGTCGGGTCCGAGTGCAGCCGGAGAGGGTGACACCCCAGCAGCAGGCCGGTGGCCGCAACGCTGTGGGGACCTGCGGCCGAGGGGGGCGGGCTGCGGGGAGAGCTGGGGGGTCTGCAGGGGGCGGGGTGAGGGGTATTGGAGCTGCGGGGGAAGCGGTGCTGCGGGGGGGGGGGGGGGGGAGAGGGAGTGGGGAGGGGGGCGGCCTGGGGGCGTGGGAGCCGCCTGCCGGTGCGCGAGGAGGCAGGTGGAGCTGCGGGTGGGCGCGCGGGTGAAGCCACTTGAAGGTCCCTAAGGCCGACTGGAGTGAAGAGAATGAGGTGGAAACCCCTCTGCTGGGTGAGAAGACTCGTGCGGGAAAGCGCTGGCCGTTTCTGGACCAATATATCAACTGAATGACAAGAGCTTAATCAACAGAATTTTCTTTAGAACTTGTCAAAATGGTTCTAAATTTCATTTGGAAGAAGATCTGTTTAAGAATCACTATGGAAATGTTTGATAAACAAAAGCAATGCTGAAGGAGGACTTTGCTCCCAGGTGTATAATGCCAACACATAGTATAACACCTCCTTAGTTAAAACACCAATGGAATACAATAGAGCACAGAATTGGACCCCAATAAAAACAAACCTATACTAAGGAGGGCAGCGGTAGTGTAGTGAAAGGTATGGAAATAACCAACTAGCCGTTTATAATGAAATCAATATGGATGCCCTTTTCTCTCTTCATTCCAAAATAAACTCCAGATGGGTCATTTATTTATTTATTTAAAAGATTTATTTATGCAAGACCCGGGGTAGAGGTCAGAGGTGTGGGAGGGCGAGAGGACTCACCAGAGACAGAGCGGGGAGCAGAACAGGCAGACTGACTGAA